GCGGGGAGGGGAAAAAGGGAAATGAGGAGCTGATTCCAGGGGCCTAAGCAGAAAGCAAGAGTTTTGAGAATGATGAGGGTAACGAATGTATGAGTGTGCTTTACACAATTGATGTATGTGTGGACTGTGATAAGAGTTGTATGAGCCCCAATAAAATGATTAAAAAAAAAAAACTCTAGTTCTGCAAGTTTCTTCTAATTCCAAAATTAGTTCAAAACAAACAAAGCCGTGAAAAGTAGGGGAAAAGAGTCTTCTGTCCTAAAGTGAGCGCTGACGAGGAGACTCAGTACCCAGCAGAGGCTAGCACGACACTGCAGGAGCTCACCATGTGGTTCTCGGGGGAAGATGAGTTAGCTTGGGAACATCTGGGCTGCTGTACGTACCACCAGCCTACCTCCCCTGAAGAGGTTCCTGGAGCTCCCTCAGTCCAGCACCCATGCTTCTTTAAAACAAGGGAAGGAGAAAAACACTCACTATTTAAATTCTTTGATAAGGTTTTTGTGAATCTTCATGCAGAAATCCTCCACTGTTGTCCTGGAGTCGGGCAGCACGACCGGGGAAGTATAATCCGGTAACTGGCCTTTGGGTTTAGTGTAACTAGAACAGAAGAAACAGAGGTTGCCTTCTGCTTGGAACATTTCATGGGCTGAATGCAAACCCACCCACCGTCGCCCCCAGGAGGATCAGGTCAGCATAACCTCTAACCTGAAAAAGACCTCAGTATGACCAGTGGATGAAAGAAACCAATGTGTTTATTATCCAAAAGGAGGGATTTTGCTGATGAGCTCCAAATGCTAGCATTTTAGGGTTAGCTAGTTTACACCTACAGCAATATTCTCTTATCCTTAGACTTACATCCTCACTAGTTTCAGGTAGTCCCAGATCTTTTCCAAAAGGTCATCAAAATTCCAGCGGTGGTGAGCAGAGATGGGCACACAGTGAGGCACCTTATAGATGATATCCAATTCCTCAATGGAGATCTGATCGATCTTATTTAACACATAGATACAGGGGATATAGACTCTATAGGAAAGAAGACAAACAGGATATTGACCTCTAGCTGCGGACAGGACTGTCAATCTGATCACCACCATTTCTCCAGCCAGGCCCCCACCACATAAGGTAGATCAGTAACAAAAAGAATTGTTAAGGCTTTTCTGAAACATAAAGTCCAAAGTCCAAAAACTGAACCATAGGTACTGAAAAGTAACAAAAATCAGGCTCTAGAACCAACCAGGCAGGCCATTTCCAAGACCACCCGATGCAGCAGAAAATGACAAGCTCTGAGACGAGCGGGCAAGCTGGCTGTCACTGTCTGGGTCTAGTACGTGTCCCCGTAAATTCCGTACCCTCCTCCGGGTCACTCTGCGACAGAGCTGTAGTAAGGATGGTAAGAATGTCCGTACAATTTTTGCAACGTGATTCTAGCCATGTCGATCACATTCCTAGCATTCACATCACCATAGCTCATCTGGTTCCTAATAATTTGGCAAGCACAACTTCTCAGGATTCAGATGGCTCACTCCAACTAGGTGCTGGTTTTTTGTTTTCAAAACAAACAGAAAAACAACTAGAAAATATTCCATCAAAATGCCAGGAGTCGCTTTCCACAGTGGCTTGATCTGACAAGGGTCTTAATAGCAGCGTCTCGTGGGAGAGGCA